TTGCAGAGGATTCTCGCGACGGCACACGCGCAAGGGCGTTCGACAGATTTCGACATGCGCGCGCGCGAAGCCCGTTTGGTAGCATTTGGTGAACATATTGAAAAACCGAAGGTTTTTTTTTTTAAAGATTTCGCAAGAGTTCCCGCGTAAGCTTTTTTAGCAAATCAATGTTGCGAAACCTTGTATTTGTTGTATGTTCTTTGGAAACCCGACTGCGATTTTTTCCGGCACTGAAGGTTTTTGAAGGATTTCGGCATGCGCGCGACGACGCGCGCGTGAGCACTTCGCCCCGTTTTTTGCAAGGGATTCGCGAACAAGTCTTATGTTAGAACAAACGACGTCCCCGCGTATCGTTTTTTACAAGGGAACCTCAGGGGGGCCGATACCGGTTCCCCGGGGATAGTGTAAATTGTTGACGCTTCGCGTATCCCCACCAGCCCATCCAGAAACGATGCTCAGGGGAGTTGAGGTGATCAGGGAAGTCGGGGAGCATGCAGAATAACAAAGGGCGGGGGAAGCTGTCACAGACCCCGAGAGGGGGAGGATGGAAGAGGAGTCGTCGTCGTCGTCGTCGTCGTCGGAGGAGGAGGAGGAGGAGGAGGGGGAAGAGGAGGAGGAGGAGGAGGAGGAGGAGGACGGAGAAGGAGGAAGAATCGGAGGAGGAGGAGGAGGAGGGGAAGGAGCTTCTTGGGGGTCTTTTGAGGGCCTCTTGGAGGGCTTTTTGGGCGCCTTGGGGCATCTTGGGCGCCTCTTGGGACCCTCTTGAGGCGCTCTGGGGAGCCTTCGGGGCGCTTTTGGGGCCATCTTGGAGGGAGTCGATCAAACAAGAGGGGGGGTTTAATTAGCGCCCCCCCTCGGAAGCCCCTAAAATCGCCTCTTGGACCCCTCTTGGAACGCTCTTGGAGTGCTCTTGGGCGCTCTTGGGGCCGTCTTGGGGCTCTTTTGGGGCTCTCTTGGGGCCCTCTTGGGCCATCTTGGAGCCATCTCCAGGCCTCGGATGGCCATCGGAAGCGAAAAGGCGAGAAAGCAAAAATCATTGATTTTCCTTAGGTTTTGGGACGATTTTGGCCTCTTCGGGGCCTCCTTGGGGAGCTGTTTGGCCACTTGGAGTTATCTTGGGGCCGTCTTTGGGCTTCTTGGAACCATCTTAGGAGCCATCGTGAGCGATCTTGCGCTATCTTGAGCCATCTTGGAGCTCATCTTGGGTTCTCTGAGGCGCTCTTGGAGCCGTCTTGGGCCATCTTGGACGCTCTAACTACCCGCGGCCCCCCCCGTCCAGGTCCAGGGGAGGGGGTAGGGGGAGGGGTAAACCCCTCCCCAAGGGGGAAGAGGGAGGGGTGGAAGAGGATCTGTTCTAGACCACCGACGCCCAGAGGGCTGGTGGGATTCATTTATATTTAGGATGGACGTGTGTCATAATCATAAATGAGTTACATACCCGAAAGTGGGCGGATAACGCCGGGGGGGAGGGTAGATCCTATTCAATTTTTTTGCGAAGGAGAATTCACTTTGACTGTCTTGATGTTGTCCTCTCCACTGCTCGCGCAAACATCCCACCCACCCACCCGCAACTTGGCTTGCAAAATCTCTTAAGACCGCGACGGTGGGTACCAAATGGCACTTGGCAACGACAGCGACGCCGACGACGACAACGACAACGACGACGACGACGCCGCCGACAACGAGTACGATGACACCGACGACGTCTCCAACGACTTCGACGACGCCGACAACGACGACGACGACGACGACGACGACTCCGACGACGACGACGACGCCGACGCCGACGACGACGACGACGATGACAACGACGACGACGATGACGACGCCGACGACGACGACAACGACGACACCGACGACACCGACGACGACGACGTCAACGACGCCGACGACGACGACGACGACGACGACGACGGCGGCAACGACGACAACGACGACGCCGCCGACAACGACTACGACGACACCGACGACGTCTCCAACGACTTCGACGACGCCGACGAACGACGACGACACGACGACGACGACGACGACGCCGACGACGACGACGACGATGACAACGACGACGACAATGACGGCGTCGACGACGACGACAACGACGACACCGACGACGACGACGACGTCAACGACGCCGACGACGACGACGACGACGACGACGGCGGCGACACCGACGACGCCGACAACGACGACGACGACGAAGACGACGACGATGACAACGACGACGACGATGACAACGACGACGACGATGACGGTGTCGACGACGACGACAACGACGACACCGACGACGACGACGACGTCAACGACGCCGACGACGACGACGACGACGACGACGACGACGACGGCGGCGACACCGACGACGCCGACAACGACGACGAAGACGACGACGACGCCGACGCCGACGACGACGAAGACGACGACGACGTCGCCAACGACGACGACGACGAGGGAGGAGGGAGGACGACGACGGCGAGAACGACGACAACGACGAAGAAGGAGGAAGGACGGCGACGCCGACGACGACAACGACGGAGGAGGAGGGAAAACGACGACGACAACGACGACGACGACGACGACGGCGGCGACGAAATAGGACGGACGACGACGAGACGCCGACGACGGACGACGACGACGACGAGGGAGGAGGAGGAAGGACGACCACGGCGACAACGACGACGGAAACGACCACGACGCCAAAGAGGACGACGACGACGAACACGAGGAAAGACAGAGGACGACGTAGGCGACGACGACGACGACGCGGGAGGAGGGAGGACGGCGACGACGACGACGACGACGACGACGACGACGCAAGAGCGTGCGCGCACGCTTTTGTTGAAAATCCGTGTTGCGAAACCTTGTGTTTTTGTAGGTTTTTGGGGCTCACGATGTTGAAATCCTTCCGAAGCCGATGGGTTTTGAAGGATTTCGGCATACGCGCGCGACGACGCGCGCGTCTGCACTTCGTTTTTTTTTTGCAGAGGATTCTCGCGACGGCACACGCGCAAGGGCGTTCGACAGATGTCGACATGCGCGTGCGAAGCCCGTTTGGTAGCTTTTTATGAAGATATTGATATACCGATGTTTTTTTGTACAAAAAAGCAAGAACTCGCGTGTAAGCTTTTTTAGCAAATCAGTATTGCGAAACCCTGTTTGTGTACGTTTGGTGCGAAATCCTTCCGACACCGAAAGTTTTGGGAGGATTTCGGCATGCGCGCGCGACGGCGCGCGCGTGCGCACTTCGTCTATTTTTTGCAAGGGATTCGCGAACAAGTCTTATGTTAGAACAAACGATGTTTTTGCGTATTGTTTTTTATTAGGGAACCTCAGGGGGGTCGATACCGGCCCCCCGGGGATAGTGTAAATTCATTTTTAGGATGGACATGCGGTCAGAATCGTATTTGATTTACATACCCGAAAGGGGTACGGATAACGCCGGGGGGGGTAGATCCTATTCTCCCTTTAGGAAGGAGAATCTACGTGGTGCAACTTGCGCGGTGCAATGTACGTCGTGCAATCTATGAGGGCGACGAGGCGGCGACGGCGACCGCGGAACCGTCAGACCAGCACCCGAGCCCAGGCAACGGGCGGCGACGAGACGGTGACGGGGCGGCGACGGCGGCGACATGGCGGCCAAAGCGCCAGGCAGGCCCACACGACGGGCGGCGAAGAGGCGGCGACGGGGCGGCGACGGCGACGACAGCCGCCAGACCACCACACAGGCCCAGTCGACGGGCGGCGACGAGACGGCGACGGGGCGGCGACGGCGACGACATAGCCGCCGGACCGCCACACAGGCCCAGTGCCTGTGTGGGGAATGTGATGCAAGGCGAAGCAACGCAAAGAACGCAAGGCAAGTCAATTCAGTGCAAAGCAGAAGTAGCCCAAACCAATGTAAAGCATCGCGCAGCAATGCGAACCGATGCGTTGCAATGCAAAGCAACGCGAAGCAATGCAAATGAAAAACGACCGACGAAACTCAGCGCAGAGCAAAGAGCAATGCAAAGCAACGCAAGTCAGCGTGAACCAGCGCAAAGCAACGCAAAGATAACAATCCGTGTAATGTAAGACGAAAAGCGCGAAGCAGTGTAAAGCAACGCTGAGCAATGCAAAGCAATGCAAAGCAATGCGACAAAAAGGCTACGCGCGGCGATGATGCGGCGACGGGGCGGCGACGACGACGGGGCGGCGACGGCAACCACAAAGCGGCAGACCTGACGTTCAGGCTCGGATGACGGGCGGCCACGGGGCGGCGACGGCGACGACATGACCGCCAGACTGCCGGACAGGCCCAGACGGCCAGCGGCGACGGGCTGGTTGCGGCGACGACGAAGTCAGGGCTCATGCCGACTCCTCCAATTCGATTCGATTTCGATGGCTTCCGATGCCGATCCGATTCGACCTGGGATTCCGATTTGGGCGTCGATTTCTTGTTGGACGCGTACAAGCCTACCGATTTCCGCCGATTCGACTTTTCCCGACTGGGCTGCCGATTTCCGTCGATCCGATTCATTTCGATCGCCGATCCGATTTATCGATTCTGGGTTCTCTTGCATAGTTGCAGGACCGTCAGACAGGTCCATTTTCTCAGACCAGAAGTGAGAACCACGAAGTGCAGTCATTATCAACGTGGGGTATAAACGTATTTCATGCTATCAATAGAGAGAGAGAGAGTGAGAGAGAGAGAGAGAACGAAAGAGAAGGAGAGAGAGAGAGAGAGAGAGAGAGAGAGAGAGAGAGAGAGACAGGAGACGAGGTACGGAGGAGGATCAGGCGGAACCACGGTGGCGGAGGGGAAACATGGACGAGTAGGAGTTGGGACCAGGAGGAGGAGACGGAGGGAGGAGCAGGCGAAGCGAGAAGCGGGAAGTCAGGGGAAGGGGAGGAGGACTCGATCGTCGTGGGTATGGACGGAGACTCAGCAAGGAGGAGGGGGGGTGGGAGGCAGGCACCTCGGCGGAGGTCAGCCGAGCGGGGGGGAGGGGGCGCGTGCCCTTGGCGCACAGGCGTCCCCCGCGGCGGGCGCCGACGATGACCAGGTCATGGCGGGGGTCGTGTGCAAGTACAAGAAGCATGAGAACAAGGCCTACATGAGCGCCGTCAACTGGATCAAGCTGCAGAGCCAGGAGGAGGCGGCGAAGCAGTGCTCCGAGCGGGAGCTGTGCGAGGGGTACCACCAGCATCCCTTCACGAAGATGTGGTACCTGTTCAAGGAGGGCGCTGAGTTGATCGAGGAGGGCAGGGTGACCGAGGGGTTCGTGGCCTACAAGTCGAAGAAGAAAGAACTGCATAAACATAAACTTCAGACGGCCCGCGCGGAGTTTTTCGATCTGCACTGCTTCGCCCCCCTGGGCGCGCGGAGCGCGCCAGGGGCGGTGCCAGAGGCGCCGCCACGGCGGTCCAGTACAGATCCAAGAAATCCGCGCGGACCGTCACAAGTTCATGTCTATGCCGTTTTTTCTTCCTCCAGCAAGAAGAGGCAGCTGACCTGCGAGGTGGCCGAGGAGGAGGACGAGGACGGCGAGGAGGGCGGGCAGGACGCCTCAGGGGAGGGCGAGCTGTAGGCTTGGCCGGCGGCGTGCAGAAGGGGCCCGCTCGGGCGTTGCGTAATGGGGGGGGCGGTCAATGGGTTCGGCAGAACATCATGGGAGCCTTGTATGCCCTCGCAACTCCGTTTCTAGAGCGCACTAGCCTCGATTAGCGTGTGGTAGTTGATGAGGAAGCGCCGATTTAGCGTCGATTAGCGTCGATTTCGTGTCGATCAGCGTCGATTCGCAAGAGCCAGCGAGATGGTGTGGGAGACCCCATGAGTTGCCACCGAGAATGGGGGGAGGCGAAGAAAGGCGGCACTTCCGAGCCCTGATGGGGCCCCCTGGGCCCCTAAAGGGAGCACGAAAGGCGCACGTTCCCAGACATTTGGCGTCTCGATTTTTTTCGAGGCACGGGCACCCGACCTCTCGATCACTTGCCCCAGACCAGTTCTCCCTCTCGAGTCTTTTCGGCGACGGTGCCGAGGCCAGGCAGAGGCCCCGAGAGGTCGGAGCAGAGAGACAAAGACGCGCAGAAGACGGCGACCCCCTCCCCCCATCGTCGCCCCTCCCACTGCAGGGCCCGACCCACGCGAGCGCGAGCGCAGGCGGCCTGGCCGGCGCGGCCTCCTGGCCGGCCCTGGGCGCGGGCGCGGCCTCCCGGCCGGCGCGGCCTCCCGGCTCACGGGAGGTGGCCCGCGGGCTCGCCGCGCGCGCCGCGAAGCACGGGGGAGGGGGGAGGGTGGGCGGCTCCAGGGCTGAAGCCAAACGGTGTTCTTCGTTTTCGTTCTGTTTTCGTTCTCCCTGGTTTTGTCTTCAAGCCGCCTCTGCCGCCAAAAACGAAGTCGAGGCGCAAACGGCCCACGAAAATCGCCCAACGCCGTTCAGGCCCAGCCCTGGGCGGCTCGAAGATGGGGCCTTCACGGGTTGGCCCCCTGCCTCCCGCTCCCGTCGTGTTCCAGCACGGGGGGTCGCGGCCCGCGCTGCGCACGAGCCCGGGCTGCCGGCGAAGAGAGGAGGGAGCAGGTGGAAGAGTTTGGGATGCATTGGGCCCCAAGGGGAGGGGGCCCTCCAGGGTACATTTCGATCCGATCCGATCCGATATGCCGGTATGCCGACGATCCGATGCGGCCCGATGTTTGCACAACGTTGTTCTGCATCTTGGCGCAGCCGATTCGATTCGATTTCGATTCTGTGACGATGCGCACCTCAATTCGATCCAGTTTACCGATTCGATGCTGACCGACCCTGCCCTCTGAGAACGGGAAGGGGGAACCCCCAGCCTGGCGACCCTGCCCCTCCGCCTATTTTGCGCCAGCAAAAAACGACGCTGGACCCCTCCCTCCCGCCCGCCCCGCCCGCCCGTGTCGTTCGCACGTTTGAACCGCCCGCTTTAATGTCCCGCCCGCCCGACCCGTCGTCATCGTCGTCGTCGTCGTCGTCGTCGTCGTCGTCGTCGTCGTGACCGCTTCCCCCCTCTTCAGGGGATGGGGCGGGGGTGGAGGTGTGAGGACTCGGGGTGTGTGAATATCATTGCTGTGGCCATGATGTCTCCAAGACCTGATGGCCCCCTTGGTTATTGCTACACGTATCCTGGTCCCCCTTCGTCCGCGCACATGCGTCGGGCCATGATTAACCCCGCTTCTCCAGCCCCGATTATTCGGCGCATCCGATGTGCAGGGAATCGTGGCTTTTGGGAGGAGGAAGCCCTTGCATAGTTCAGCAACCTTTGGTGCCCAGAGGCTGGAATGGACACGGCCTGGCTACGAGCAAGTTTCTTTTTCGGAGGTCTGGGGATACCGCGCGCTTC